TGTAGAAAAAAAAACTACATTTAAACACAGGAGGCTGAAAAAATGCTCATTTTAGAATAAAATTTCTGCTGGCACTGCATCTGAACTCTTCGTGTATTGTTTTAAACAAGTTAAATGTCAATAAAAGTCCCTGTGTTAAACTTTTTCAACATCAAAAGTCAACAGAACCGAGACCAAGGTCCTATAATGCAATTCATAACTGTACATTAAATAAATAAATAAAAAAAACATGGAAAATGAAATACGGAAGCTGTTAATTAATTGATTATTTACAGCTTAAACTTTTTTTTTTTAAATAGATAAACTTTTTTTTTTTTACTAAACTTTAATTCAATTAATAAAAATGACAGTTAACAAAGCTGTAAAAATACCTGAAAAAGACTTCATGTAGTAGCACAAGACTTAATAGTTTATTTATAAGCTAATTTCGAGAGGATCACGTGCTTATGATTGACCACGGCTGATCCCGCATTAGCTAACACACGAATCACCAATCAGACGATTCCTGAGTCACCATAAATAACCAGAGTGTTCATATCTCAGTCATCTTCGTTTTGAGAAATCCCCCCTTCCACCCCTATTTCTTTTCCCTTTTCCTAAATATGGTGGCCCAGTGAGTAGCACTGTTGCCTCACAGCAAGATTGTCACTGGTTCAAGTCCTTACCAGGCCAGTCAACAATTCAGTGTAAAGTTTACATGTTCTCCCCGTGCTTGTATGGGTTTCCCCCTGGTGCTGTTTCCTCCCACCGTCTAAAGGCATGCGACATAAGTGCATTGACTAAAATTTGCACCATAAATGAGCTCTTAGTCAGCAGTATTTCCAACACAATCTCATGGCAATTCTTAACTTTTTGATTTAGTGGCTAATTCGTACGATCTATTTTGTTCAATTTAGTACGACTTGCTCATCCCCCAATGACGGTTGGATTTAGGGGTGGGGTTAGGTGCCACACCTCCTTTTTAAAACTGTACAATTTCGTACGACTGAACTCATACGAATTAGCCACTAAACTGGCAAAACGTGAAATACTTACGTTTTCTCGTGAGATCAGGCTGATATTTCTCTCCATAGCAATCCCTAATTTGTCATTAGCCACAAGCAGGGGAGTTCTCGAGATCTACCTAAGCTCAAACTCCCCTCTCGTCCTGCAAACGGCTCGAGTATCTTTTGAGCTCAGGACTCTTACATGCCCCAACAAACATTTTTATTCATAGTTCATGGTTTCATGGTTTACTTCAAATCCCTCTGGAGTATTTTTCTATCCTACGTTTCTCCATACTGATGGAAAAATGTAATAATAAATATAATAATTATATATATATATTATATTATATATATATATTATTATTATTATCATGAGCGTGTTACTGCAATCAATTTTCTCCAAACTGATGGAAGAATTTAATATGTATAAAATTGTCTGCCGACAGCATGATTGAATCTTTAAGAAATAATAATTAATAAATAAAAATACATTACTTTATATAATCTTCTGTTTTAGAGTTCTATGGACAATTGAATGTGTATTTTTGCCTTCCTTAAATAATAATTGATCACGTTTGTTTATTTGACATGGCACTTTTTATCATGCTTTATCGAAAAGAACAGCAAAGAAACGTCTCCTGCATCAGTCGGTGATCTTCGGCAGGAATGCTTGGCTTGTGCATGTATTTATTTTCCATGTTTTTTTCCCCCGCAGCTCTGGAATCTGTTTGGAAGGCGTGGTGGCTGGAACTGACACTGAAGACTAAAATTACACTTTTTATTCTGCCACTCTTTCCTACGCACATGGCAAATGAGTATGAATGAGATGCTGGTATAAATAAATAACATAACAGTGGGTGTGGTAATGGGAGTGAAATATAGTGCTGGCGGTGTTGTTTAATTGTGCACAAATTATGTGGGTTTATTATAGTATCAGTGTCGAACAGAAGCAATATTGGTCATGCTTTACAATAAGATTTCATTAGTTAAAGTTAATTAATGTATTCACTAACTTGAATTAGTAATGAACAATGTTTGTACAGCATTTAATAATGATAGTTTAACGATTAACATTAGTTAATGCACTGCGAGAACAATGAATAAAAAACTATTTCCATTAATGTTACTCAAGATTAACACTGTAATAAATGCATTGTTCATTGTTTGTTCATGTTACTGAATACATTAACTAATACAACCCTATTGTGAAGTGCCACTGTAATATTTCACCCTTATCTTTTTTCTATACAGGTGTGTTTGGTCATGAAGATCTTAGGCTTTATAATTGTGTTTCAGGGGTGTCCAAACTCGGTCCAGTGTCCTTCAGATTTTAGTTTCAACTTGCCTCAACACTCCTGCACGGATGTTTCTAGAAAGCCCAAGGGCTTGATTAGCTAGCCAAGGTGTGTCTAATTAGGGTTGGAATTAAACTTTGTAGTACACCGGCCCTCCAGGACCAAGTTTGGGCACCCAATTTTTTTTTTTTAAATGTGTACTTCTACTGTCCCTTGAGTACATCTATAGTGCAGTATATGTGCTACTTTCCTTCAACCTGCAGTCACTATTTTTTTTTCTTGTCTATGGGGATTTTAAAAAATCAGTCTGTGATTTCTGACCAATCAACCCACACATAGAAGGTAAGTCGCATCGTAATGAACAACCTCAAGACATGGGTGTTTTATAATTGCAGCAAACTCTTTGGAAGCATTACAACTGTACAATAAGATGTCCAAAATCTTTACACGCAATAACCCAAAGACTGTTTAGATGCTTGTCACTGATGAGAAGATGACTGATGTTTACTGTATGATGACCAAAATGGCCTTAAATACCCAGCAGACACAAGACGACAACATGACGTCAGATTGACGTTGTACCCTAACGTCGTGGGGACGTTGCATTTTGTTTGGAAATGAAAATCGGGTTGACGTTAGAACTCAGCTTCAGGCCAACGTCTATGTCCAACCTAAAATCAACCAAATATCAACGTCTATGTTACAGCTTGGCGTTGTGTGGATCAGACGGTGAATTTTGGTTGCCATACCTGACGAATAAATGTCAGTATTTGGCCTCAATATGACGTTGTTTTTTTTTAGATGTTGACTCGACGTTGGATTTAGTCACTTTCCAACACAACCTAAAATCAACGAAATATCAACGTCATTTGACATAGTTATTGGATATCAAAATAATGTCCTTAGGCGCTGACTGACGTTAAATTTTGGTCACCTGACATCACAACCTAAATCTGACCTAGTATTAATGTCTTATGACATTGTGTACCTGCTGGGCAATGACAAGATGCAGTACAGAATGTTACGTTTACACACATTCACAAATTATATGTAAATGCATCAGCTTTTAACAGCGTAATACTCACTACTCTTGAGTACTTTTGAAAGGGCTACTTTTTACTTATACTTTGAGTAATATTTACAACAGATACTTCTACTATACTTGTGTTACTTTTTTAGGCAAGTAATTTTAAGTACTTTTACTTAAGTATGATTTTTTCGATGCTTTTTCCCACCTCTGGTTAAAACACATGGACTAAGAAAATTCCCATGTGTGTGGAACGATATCTCAATATCTCAAGCATATAAACGTCAGACAGACACAATGCTGTTTAGAGCTGACCCAGACCTGTAAAATAATCCACAAAGGAATAGAACACACACACTCTCAAAATACAATCTGTTTCTTACTCAAGGCTTAGTGTACTCACAGCCATCTTATCAAAATGGTTAAACACTCCCTGCTGAAAAAAAAAAAAAAACTGCTTAAACCGGCATAAGCTGGTTGGCTGGTTTAAGCTGGTTGACCAGCCTGGTTTTAGAGGGGTTTTGGCCATTTCCAGGCTGGTTTCCAGCTATTTAAAGCCTATTCTGGTAAGGCTGGAAGATGACCAGCTAAAACCAGCCTAACCAGGCCGGGAAACCAGTCAAAACCACAATGTCCAGCTTAAACCTGGCTTGTCAAGCTGGTTTTAGTTGGTTTTAGCTGGTCATTTTCCCGCCTGACCAGCTAAAACCAGGCTGGAAATGGCTGGAAACCAGCCTGGAAATGGCCAAAAACCTTCTAAAACCAGGCTGGTCAACCAGCTAAAACCAGACAACCATCTTAGGCTGGTTTAAGCTGGATTTTTCAGCAGGGCTGGTATAAGCTACATCCAAATGGGTGGCTTACATACAAATGAATTAACTTTAAAAGATTTAACACTTAAAATGGCAAATTATTGAGGAAACTCAGTTGTTTACAATTCTTCAAGAGTCCAGGTCCACTCAAGAAGTCTCCATGACCTCTAACCTGACTGGGTTACTCCATCCTGGACTAGACATCCTTTGGAAAAGTCACTTTCTTCAATTGAGTTTGAATTTGCATTATTACATTGCTTTCTATGAAATTATTTCAATATTTTGGGGAAGTAATTTTCACATTTTAAGGGATGTCTTGCATAATTACCCTGCTGTTATTATTAGACAACCATATAGCGTTAATGTAAGGGAAATACATAGAGGACTAAAAGTAAAATGTTTGTTTTTTTAATGTGAGTGAAAGTATCTCTTTTTATGTGCATTAATCTGTCTGACTGACTATTCAAGAATGTGTTTTGGCTCTCTATCCATCTGACATATTTATGTATTTCACTGTATCTGTCTTACTGTCTACCTATCAGTCATTTCTTATCTAAATGTCAAAGTGCAGTCAAACTGAATGGATGTTATATAATATTTCAATGCCATCCGGATTTGGATTCTGAATCTCTTCTCACCCAGACGTTTTAATATGTTAATTATTTTTACCATGGTCACATATTTAAATGGGACAGTCCATCATAAGATGATCTGCATGCTTTTACTTCAGTCTGCATTTACTGCATTTCTCAAGCTGCTGAACATACATCTGGAGGACATTAACGCTGTTCAAACTGAATAGACCAGGTTTCTTACAGATTCATAAAATCTCAGCCTTTGTTCTGCAGTTTTATTGCGCGCTGCTACAGTGAAAGTGTTTAATCTGCTGGGCTTGTTGCTTCCTGTATTGCATTGTTATGGTTGCAGCTAAAATATGAGTAACTTAGCAACGATTGAGATACTTTATCGTTTCTCTTTTCCCTTTCTCGTTGTAAATACGACAAGAAATCGCTTTAAATAGTCGAATTTACATCAACTACTGTTAGTTCAATGGGTCTAAAGTTTGCTAAGACTCCGTTAGCTAGCGGACTAGCACGCTATGCTAGCTGACCACCAAATATCTTTACACGATGTAAACATACAAAAAAACGGACAGCATTTTTTATTTTATTTTATTTCTTTTGGGGAATCAATCTGTTAAACTCCACACGAGAAACGACTCTGGAGAGCAGAAATCTTTTCAGGTGAGTTTGACAGACATTAGCTAACGTTATATGCTAACAAACCAAACTCAAGTTCTAACAGGTTGTAGTTTAGCATGTCTGGACAGTCACGCTTGTTTTAAGCTAACGTTACTTTATAATGTGTTGGTTTTGTACCGTTAAGTATTTTATGGGATCTTTAAGGCTTAAACGAATTATATATTATGTATTTTGACCTGCCAGCACTGTTTAATGTGATTAACGTTAATTTGACGTTGAGGTTTTGCATCAGCTAACGACGTAAAAGTGTCCAAATTTTAGCAGTTATTTTAATCAGAATTATGTCATATTACAAATTGAAGACACACATAGAGTTTAAAGTTAGTTCTTTTGTTTTAAGTAAGTTATACATTTAGGATTCTTTTTTAGGTTTTGCCAACCTCTGCCACACGATATTTTAACATATTTAACTGGTAAATGCACAAAGTAATTGATAAATTTTGAGTCTAAATAACAAGTTAAGTTAATCAAGTTAGTAAAAAATACATAATTGTACACAAACACAAAACTATAAGTTGTAATTCATGCAAACTCAGATTTTTCTAGTGTTCTGGTGGTTTTGTACCTTTTGAATTCACTAGCTTTGCCACAAATTTGCGTATAATTGCATATAAATGTGTTTATGTGTTTCAAAACATTATATTGAAGATTTATCAGTTAAATACAGCGAATAATTTTAGTATTATGGGAGCATCAAATATTATGCGGTGTAAAATAAATTCATATGGGTGTACATGATGATTGACATTCACTATTACAGTGTTTTTATAGTGTAATTACATATTTAGGACATTCTAATAAAGGATTGTTAGATCAAAGTCTCCAAATAAATAAGATCCAGCCCCGGATGCCAGATTTTGTCACTCTGGTAAAATAGTTGGGTTAAAAATACCCCAAAAATATAACCCAACTATAGATTAATATATCACCTTCCCAACTATGGGTTATTTTAACCCAGTGCATTGGGTTATTTTGAATAAATGTTATTTATTCCATTCTGATATTACTATTGCTACTATTTTCAGTACTACTATTAATTTTATATTTTTGGCTGTGTCAATAAATAACATGCAGTTTTCAACAGTATTGAAAATACTTTATTTTCATTACATTTTAAGTTTGTTAAGGGTTTTATCTGTTTAATAAAAATCGACTGAAGTGCGCGTTGGTATCATCAATAATTAAGAATGCTGGTAATTAGGTAATTTAATAAACAAATAACAGTATTATTGCGTTATAGGTTAAATAAACTTTACAATGCAGAAACAACATTAAATAGGCATATTAATACAGCTGTTCTGTGTCAGTTGACTGTTGAAATTCAACATTTTTAACCCAACTGGTCGAGTTATTAAATAAATAGCCCAAAAAAGGTTAAGAATTACCCAACAAATCACCAAATATTTAACCCAACTGGTTGAATTATTAATAAATAACCCAATAAAGGTGAAAAATAATCCAGCAAAGTACCAGATATTTCTAACGCAACCTTTGGGCTTTATAAATAACTCATCGTTTTTTAGAGTGCAGGAAATGTCAGCTTCTCCGGGTATATGGACAACAAGTCAGTAGAGTTTCCAATAACCAAACCTGTAAACCAGTATTCAACTGAATAAGCACTCTACTATCAATAAAGGAGTCATCTGTGGAAGCCAAGCCAGAGAAGAGCAGAAACAGGAGACAAAGTGATTATAATAAAAGAGCAGGGTTTATTGAATAATCTTAGTGTTTCGGTATGCTTTCATACTTCGTCTGTGCAGCACAAACATTACAAATGTTATTATACATCAGGCCACAAGACCTTGAATTAGAGAAGTACCCTCATATCTCATCAGTGGTAAGAAACATCTCATGAAACATCATCAAAATAAGAATAAACTACAGAAAAAAACACTAAAAGCAGAACAAGTAATAAGAAATCAAATCAATAAATGATTAATATATTAAATGATAAACATAAATTAATCAAATGTGAATCAGATAAATGGATGAGTAAACGAATAACTTAGATTTATAATGATTATAATCATAACTGAAATGATCAATGCAAAACAAATGATAGAAGAAACAAAACCAAAACATAACAGAATATGGAATTGATTTCATTGAAAGTGCACACAGGTTATTACAAATTTCAGATTCTACAGGATGAATAACCAACAACCAAATGTGCGGCTAATTAAATATGCACAAGTATGACGTTTACAGTATGCAATCACCATCATCATGCAACAGGCCACAATTTTAGGTTTATTAGGTTTCTCTTAACCTGAACTCTTTGTGTAGTGTAAAATTCCCAGACCTCATCTCCCACAGTCTGAGGAAAGCTGTCACGTCTCGCCTCTGTGTTTCTATATTTGCGTTCTGTTCTGTCAGATTGTATGTGGGAGACTTTTTTTCAGTCTTTGGCAACTACCAGCTGGGTATCGGATGAGTCAAGGCAGATTTAGTTTTAATTTAAGCTGCTTAGTTACACACACACATTGCCGGCCTGTAGTCTCCACATCGACAGGATTACACTGAAGACCAGTACCATTTGGTACTTAATAGAGTATGAATGTTTTTTTTGTTGTTGTAGCTGTTGTGCTGGGCACAGATTAATCACGAATAATCCAAAATAAAGGTTTGCATATACACCATATGTGTGTGTGTGCTCTGTGTATTTATAATGTATATAATAAATACACACATGCATGTATATGTTTGAGAAAATGTTTATATTTGGATAAAAAAATGTGTGTATGATACATTTTAAATATCTATGTAAATAGCTTTATTTTTATGTATAAGTGTGTATTACTATACATAATGCATATATATCAACCCAGGCTCATTCTGGAAACGTAGCTCCACGGACGTTACTAGAGACCGTGAAATACGTTCCTGGAGGTACGTATTTGTGCAGTTTTTGTTTTCGCTAATCTGCGAGAGGCCGCTGTGCACGCTTTTTTGCATCTCGAACGCATCTCGCAAGCGCGCCGTTCGCGCCCGCACTGTTCTTGAGTAAAAAGCCGCCGGAGGCCGCTGTCGAGCGACCGTTTGTCCGACTGACTGACTGAACGATTGACTGGGTGGCCGGCCAGTTGGCCGACCCAGCAACCCTCCTCCTCCTCCTTCCCTAAACCAAAGGGACGATTTACAAAAGCCGCCCAGAAAAAGAAAAGCCCCTGTCTGATTTTGACCGCATTTTGTTCGCTTTATTTTTTGGATTCTGTTTTTTGTCTTACCTGATTTCTTGAACCGCTCTTCCCCGCACTTGAACCCGGTCGTCGCCGCGTCTGGCTCCTCCTTCGGGCCTCCACTCCGTCGACATAACACACCGAGCTAACCGGACAAACTGGTTGCGGCGGGAAAGCCCTCCACACAGAGGAGGTGTGCCGTCAGCCGGCGAGTGTGAAGAGCGGCGTCACACCGCTTTGTAGCGTTCGCTTCACAAAACGAAATGCAGCCATACGTACCTCCTGCCCATAAATCGCGGTTTCCAGAAACGTCCGCGGGGCTACATTTTCAGATTCAGTTTGGGTGGATATATATAATAATTACATAAAAAAACTATTTATTTTGGATGCAATTAATCATTTAAATTGAAATAAATTACCTGAGTTTAACATGCAATCTTACTATACAGAGTTAATGAACAAAATTCATATATTGATCTTATAATTTTACGTTTTTTTAGGCCACATTAATGTTAACATTTTAAATGGCATATTAGGTCTTCAATGAACAGCTACAGAAAATATAACAATCTGAATATTCTTAAAATACACTCTAAAATTGAAATAATGAATTATCCATGGTGTATTCAAGTGCCTCAATATCAGTATTGGTCATGTTCATTATTATGATTTATTCAATTATAAAATATACATTATTTATTTTTACATTATGTGTTTTTTTACATTATACTATACAAGTTGAATATTATAATGAGAAAATGTCAGTTTGTAACATCAATCAGCTTATAGAGCTGTTATTAATGTGTAAACATCTTTGGAAGTGAATGAGACCGGAAGTGTTTAGCCAAAACAATCCCACTCATATGTGAAGAATTAGGTCAATAACGATGGTTTGTTTTGTAGACAATTGGAAAAAAAATATTGCTTAATAATAATGACCTTAAAATGTAAAAAAAAAAAAATCAAAAACTGCTTTTATTCTAGCCAAAATAAAACAAATAAGACTTTCTCCAAAAGAAAAAAGAAAATAGGAAATACTGTAAAAATTCCTTACTCTGTTAAACAGCATTTGGGAAATATTTGAAACACACAAAAAACTGTATGTCTGTTTCTGATTTGATTGCATCTCCATCCTTTTAGCCTCCTTCAAGATATTTTTAGGAATATGCCGTGAAATGTCAGCCAGCCTGTGAGCGTGATCAGGATCCTGAAGGTATCGTATCGAGAAGGACATGGACAGCTCTGTGACACTCTGGCAGTTCCTGCTGCAGCTCCTGCTGGACCCAGGGAATGAGCAGCTCATCTGCTGGACCAATGAGGATGGAGAGTTCAAGCTGCTGCAGGCGGAAGAAGTGGCCAGATTATGGGGAGCCCGCAAGAACAAACCCAGCATGAACTACGACAAGCTCAGCCGGGCCCTGCGCTACTACTATGACAAGGTGTGTGATGTTGTCTTTGTTATCATTTGCGCACTCTCATTTGGATCATATTAGTTATTGGTAGGCCATATTGGAATCTGCATGCTTCGAAATCCACAGATCTTTGAGTCTACTTGTTTACTTGTGTAAATGTGTGTAAATTTATATTTATTCAGTTTTTGAATTAATTTCTGTTATATTATTGACTAATATGAAATTGTTCATATGATTTATTTACAATACTGTTTGTAAAGTTTTTTCTCTGTACTTTTAGAGAGATGTATTATGAACATCTCGTTTTAGTAGATGTATTATAAATAAAAGATACTTGCTTTGTTTACCAAATAAGTGGATGTAATTGGATTTGCATTGTAAGCATTAAAAAAAAGTTAAAAGGTATTATATTTTATATATCAAGTTTTTAGTTAAGATACTCCCCAAATCATTCCGTAATCATTCCAAAAATATGCTAATTTTTAATAAAGTTCTCTGCAGAAATAGCAAAAAATGTTTGCAGATTCTGTCTGGCCCTAATTATCGGTCAATGCTATGTGTGTGTGTGTTTTTTAATGAAAAAACGTTTACGTAACATTTTAAATCCAACCATAATATCCCTAGACACACAATTATTATTATTATTATTATTATTATTATTATTATTATTAATGAATTATATTATTATTATTATTTAATTATTATTATTATTATTATTATTATTATTATTAATAATACTAATGAATTATATTATTATTATTTAAATTATTATTATTATTATTATTATTGTTGTATGTAGTTATTATTATTTTTGTTGTTGTTATTGGTGATCATCTTATATAACCTCTGTGATAAGAGAACTGTGTAATAACATAATAATGCATTAGAAAACATGAACTAAAATTAAATAATATATATTTACAGCATTTATTATTCTTTCTGGATGTTAATAAAAAAATCTTATAATGTTTTGTTCATGTTTATTCACAAAGTATTAACTAATGTTAACATACAACTTTATATTTTTGCGAACTATTAGTTAATGTTGTAACTAACAAACTAAAATCATGGTAACACAATGAATGAATATTATATTTAATTATTTAAATTTTATCTAATTTTCTTAATTTAATTACAAAATCTTCATTTTTATTCGCTACTTGTTTCATTGTAACTTGTTACATTGTTTAAGTATTACATACATACTGTAAACTTATATGTAAGTCATAACAACAAATGTTTTTATGTTTGTTAAACTAATTTTAAACGTAAATTTAAATTAAATATTTAAAGTTATAGAAATTTTAACTTAATTTTTTCAGTTTGTTTAACTGATGTGAGTTGAGATGACAAGAAAAGTTCAGTTGATTCAACTAAAAAATATAGGCAGCAAGATTTTTTTACAGTGATTATATATTACTATTATATATGCATATGTTATATTCAAACTATTGATAATAAATACTAATTTATTGAGAATTGTTATTATTATTTTTGCTATTATTATTTATTATTATTAGTAGTAGTAGTAATATTAATAATGTTATTATTATTTGTCCATGTTTCATTCTGGCTGTAATTTGTTAAGAAAAATGTATATTTAGTGTTGTGATTTATTAGATATTATCTTATAATTAATTGGGGTTGATATTGTTTGATTTTAAATTATTAGGCATTAGGGATGTAACAATATTGTAAGTACTGTAATACCGCAATAAAAAAATTTTCAATAATACCGTAGGCGCATGACTCAATAAAACTTTATTTCTGAGAAAAGTTTGCTTAGGCGAATGAAGCAAATGGGAGGTAGCAGGAACTACAATTTCCATCAGCCTAGGCGTGGCCATCATCCTTTATGGTCTGTTCTCACTACAGATCCAGTATAATGCGGAAATGGAGTGTGCTGCTAGTAGTGGGGAAGAAAAAGAGCTGGAAATGATCGAACCTAAAGCAGGTTTTAAATCGAATGTGTGGAAGCATTTCGGGTTCTTTCTAAAAAGATACAAAAAAAGGAGAAAAGGTGACAGACAAAGAAAAACGGTATGCAGGCACTGCCAGACTGTGGTGAAATATAAGTTGGGGAATACGACTAAAAACAGTCATGGGGACTGCAGAACACAGCACACTTGTTAGATTGATGTAGACATTGACTTGTACGGCAAAGAGACCTCTATCTCACTCATGGCTTGTCCTCTCAAGTGGTGGAAAGACGATGCACAACGTTACCCACTGCTGTCAACCTTGGCTAAATCATATCTCTCTGTCCCAGAAACCTCAGTCCCAAATGAGAATGTTTTTTTTTTCTGTTGCAGGGGACATGCCCAGAGATCCCAGCTTTTACCAGATTATAGTTATATGATAATTTTTCTTAAAAAAAAACCCCATCTCTATCTAAGTGAGTGAGTGATTAAATTTGTGATTGTGATGAGTTTTTTCTGTCTTATTTCTCACAATACTAAATTGAAACTTTTTTTTTTTTTTACATGGTTTAATAGTTTTTTGTTATCAAAATTGAAAAAGTTCCGGTTTCTAAACTTACAGGTAGATGGCTAATTTGTATGTCATTAATATGTTCAGTGCTAAGGTAAATAAACACTTTTGGCACTTTTTTCGGGTCTTTTCATTAGTTTTGTTTTCCTGTAAATTATTCAATAAATACCGTACCGTGCCATTCATAACGAGATATTACCGTACCATGAAATTCTGATACCGTTACATCCCTATTAGGCATTTATTATTAGTTATTAGGTATTAATGTTCTATTGCAAAATAATTGAGTTTGTAATGACCGTTTTCCTTACCATTATTCTTTATCCAGGTTATCCATTTTCTTTTATTATATATTATTTGTTTTTGTAAAATTAAGGTACGTTCACATAGGCTGGGTTAAACAGCTTGTATTCTGTTATTTTAAAACCTGCAAGTTACCATGTCACACAAAATAAATATTTAAATTATAAACTAAATTAAGCACTCAAACACTTGTTATAAGCTGTTAAATAAGTACATATGTTTTATTTATTTATTTTTTGGGGTGTGCTAATCCCCATAGGCTTTAGAGATTTACCAGGCTAATTCTGTTGTGTCTGTATATTTAAATCAGTGTTTATCATAATTGCTAGCGTTCAGGCCTCTCATCCCCCCCACACTCTTCTCCATCAGTAAGTTGTTTTGTTGCTGTAAACACACAATCAAATACATCTGAACTGCAAGAAGAGGGTCACAGATCCCGTTAGCACAGTGAGGAAGTCATGGCCTCTCGCTAGGGGTTTATTCTTGAGTGCCAACCGCGTGTTTGAGGGTTTGGCACTTGCGTTTTAAGCTTCATCTTGGCACCACAGGGCACGAGGTATCGTTTACTGAATTCTTGCTGGGCTCTTTCACTTAATTGCATGTTATTTTGTTGGAGAGGGTACAAGAATGCAACTGACTGGCTGGTAAAATGTACATGTGAGGGACGTTTTGGTTGATTTGTTTGGGTTTTGACAATATTTTTGGATGCATGTAGGCGAACGGTCAATCCTAAGCTAAAATTAACATGATTTTTATTTTTCCTCAAATATTTTCATCATCAAAAAAGCAAGCAAACTGAAGATTTTCTTGTGTTTAGCATTGTTAAATGTACACAAAACAAACTTTATTTCACTATAGATCATTTTGAGGGATGCAAACAATAACAATGGTCCTAATGTATTTCCTGTTTTAGATCTTTCATTTACAAAGCTTCTGAGAATCCTGAAAGCTTCATGTTGATACTTTTTTAATGACAGCCATGTTAACATTAGTTGTGACTGAATCACCTCTTATTATACAGTTCTGACGAGCAGGAGCTGTTCATGGACCAATGATATCACCATATTGAAATGGTCTATATACATTTTTATTTATTTAACAACATTTTTTAGAGAGAAAGAGAGTTTTGTTTACATTTACCTTGCATAGTATTATGTGCAAACAATATTAACATATACTTTTATAATAATTTGTGTGAATATAAAAAGATGTATTTATAAAACAAAAAAAATGGATGAACGGCTTTGGATGAGATACGTAAGAAACTAGTCCTACACATAGGTGCAGTTTGATTACATGTGGAATGGCAGCACGGTGGCTCAGTGGTTAGCACTGTTGCCTCACAGCAAGAAGGTCACTGGCTTGAGACCCGGATGAGTCAGTTGGCGTTTTTGTGTGAAGTTTGCAACGTACTGTCTGTCTTAGTCTGTCTTAGGTTATGTATATAGTTAAGTAGTAATTTTTAGTATATGTATAGTTAGATTACCACTTTAGTAAACTCTCAGAAAAATGGTACAATTTTGTACCAAAGGAGGCACAAACCCTTGTCACTGTAGAAGTTCCTATTTATGGAACAGAATTGTACCTTAAGACAAAGAAACAAAATTGTACCATTGCAGTTTGTGCAGGCCCATTCTGAAAACGTAGTTCCATGGACGTTCCTGGAGACCGCGAAATTCCGGGAGGTACTTATTTTTGCAATTTTTGTTTTTGTGAATCCACGAGACGCTGCTGTGTGCGCTTTTTTGCATCTCAAAATGTCTCTCGCTAGTGCCGATCGCGCCTGTGCTGTTCTCACGTAAACCCATCAGAGGCCGCTGTCGACTGACCGTCTGTCTGACTGACTGATTGACTGGGCTACCAGCCAATCGGCTGACCCACCCACCTCCTTCCTTGAACCCAACCAATTTTACCGATTGACCCGCCCACCCGCATACTTCCCTAAACCCAACCAACAAATTACAAAAGCTGTCCAGAAAAAGAAAAGCCCTCGTCTGATTTTTACCACGTTTTCAGATTTTACCACATTTTTACCCTGTTCTGAACTTGCTCACTTTATTTTTTGGATGCTGTTTTTGTCTGATATGATTTCTGGAACCGCTCTTCCCTGGACTCAAACCCGGTCGTCGTCGTTGTGGTCAGCTCTCCTCTGCATCTCAAGTCTGTCGATGTACACAATGAGCTAACTGGACAAACTGGTTGTGGCAGGAAAGCCCTCCACGCGGAGGTAATCGGTCAGCCAGTAAGCGTAAAAAGGACTGGCGTCATACCTCCCCGTAGTGTTCGCTGAAAAAATGAAATGCAGCCATACGTACCTCCGGCTACATAATTCGCGGTCTCCAGAAACGTCCACGGCACTACGTTATCATAATGAGCCTGGGTTGAGTTTGTACCTTTTAAGGACATGATCTGTACCATGGGAAACCAAAATGTACCTTAGGATTTTAAAACCTGCAGATACAATATTGTATTTTCATCAAAGGTACAAATCTGATCCATGAAGGTACCACTACAGTGACAAGACACTTTGTACCTTAACAGTGTCAAATGTGTTCCTTCAAGAACTATTTAAGGGCGTTTTGCTTTATCCAAAATGGGTCAATTTATGTTCAGTAATTATGAAACATCAAATACATTTTTTTAAAAACGTTTCTACACCTTTTCCATTTACAATTAAGAGTAAAAACTACTTTAACATAAATCAAAAGATCTATTTTTTGCTAAACTTTTCACAAAAATGTTACAGAAATACATTCTCCCATCTTTAATATTAAACAGTTTTTCTCCAATTTTCACACAACACCTTTGTGATCACTTAATTTACTTAATTTTTAAATAGAAATAGAATTATGCAAAAGTATTGTGACGAGATATGACCAGTGTTTGAGCTTTACAATACTAAAATGTCTGCATGAACACTTTACATATGCAGAACTTTTGAAAGCTCATGTGCGTAGTGGAAAGCAAACGCCAAAAGGTGCGGATATCAATAATGAAAATGTATTTATCAGAAAATGCTTATAATGTTTATTAAAAATGCCTTAAATGTTTAGTTTACATTACCTATATTTTTGTTTTACCAGTTGTTTTGTATTATAGAACTTAATGGTGAATGTTTATGAGTTTCTTTAAACGTATGCTTTTAAATGATGATTCATGTTTTAAGATGGAAATTATTCATAAAATCACTTTGCCTTTCCAGTAATATTTAGATTCATAGATATTGTAATAACGGAGGAGTACCTTTTTAATGAGAACAGCTGTGTACTTTTATTTTAATTGTACCATAAAAGGTACAGAGCATTCTCATAAGAGGTATTTTCTGAACTATATAAGGTACAATTTTTACAAAGGTAAATGTTAGCTATGCATAGGTTATATGTAATAGCTCCTACGTCCAGTGTTGTGTTCATATTTATGATTATGTATTTTTATGCAGCACCGTGGTCCTGTGAGACACAACATTTCATTCCGCTGTATGTCAGCACATGTAGCGTAATGTAAATAAAGCGTGACTTGAGTTTTTATAATATTTTTATGTGCATGCCAAAAAATGTTAGTCATCAGCTAATGTTTTTTCCCATCCTTTCATGCAGAACATCATCAAAAAAGTCAACGGCCAGAAGTTTGTCTATCGTTTCGTGTCGTACCCTGACATCCTAAAAGGAGACGTCATGGCCAGGGCCGAGGGTGCAGACGGAGGCTCGAACGGCCCTCTGCCTCTCTCGGACCAACCAACAAACATCTCCAGAGATAAAGACAACAAATCCATCATAGAGCGGGGAGCCGGAACACTGGCTCAGTCTAAATCATCCAGCCGGAATGAATACATCCACTCTGGCCTTTATACATCCTTCACTTTGACCTCTTTGCAATCGGGAACGCAACTTTTTAAAGCCACCAAGAATGAAAACCCAGGAGAAAAGCTAATGGAGAAAAAAAGCACCCAGGATTCACCCCAGCCGTTATCCACAGTTATCAAATTTGGGACCATGCCACAAAAAAGCACCACTGCGTCTGCTATAGGAAGACCTGAACTTCCAGAACAGTCCGCTCAATCACCTCTGGCTGATCCCGAATCCAAACAGACCTCCATCTCCAATACTGTGTGTGCGTTTGTGGAGAAAACGTCTTCAGAGAACGCCATGACAGGCTTCCCTGTGTCCAGCATCTCTCCATCAGTGCTCCATCATTCCTCCCAGTCTCCCTCTTCTTCTCCCATGACAGATTCACAGCAGCTGGTGATTGACAGTGAGATTGAGTCTCTTTCCTCACAGCCTTCAGAGTTACAGCTGCAGGTACGACACTTTCTGATGATGATGATGACCATGTTATACTGTGAGTTGTGCAGTATTGGCTTTGGGAATTTGTGCAATAAAACATAAATAATATTGTATGTACTCTGGTGTGTGTAATACAAAAGGATGTAGTTTTAAAGGCTTTTTAGCCCACACTTGTTTCTTTCTTTATTCATTTATTTATTAAACTAGATTTATTTATTAAACTAGAAACTAGTTTTGGCATACGCTTACACACACTTTCACGCACGCACTTGTACAGCTATTTTTAGGGCAACTTCCCATAGATGTAATGATTTTTTATACTGTAATGACTGTGTATTCTCTCTATCCTACCCCTAATCTCAACCTTCATAGGAAACAATTAGCATTTTTTAGATTTTCAAAATACCTTATTCTTTGTGAGTTATGAGTCTTTTTCCCCATGGGGAGCAAAAAACGTATATAAGCAAAAAAAAAAAAAAAAAAAAAAAAAAATATATATATATATATATATATATATATATATATATATATATACAACAGTTCTGTCTGGTTCTCGAATCTAATTGGCTGATAGTTGTGATATATTTAAGTAATATCAACACCCGTACAGCCTCTTTACCCTTTGTGTATTACTCCGCCCACATACAGCCAGCAAAAAGCAGACACTACAGATCTAAAGTTTAAAAGATGCATGCTCAGCTGTTTAACTGTCAGCTTATGATTTGAATCCAACATGGAAGAAAGTTGTTCCTCATACAAAAGGGCTTTTAAGACTCTCCATGTTTGATTTTGTTTTTATATACACAATTTTGCCGTCAAACAGTTGTATAAACGCAATATCACACTCGTAGCAGTGCGATATGGCTGTATATCAGCACTTGTTGGGGCACTAAGGCAACGCATGCCTCCCACCAGTGCCGAAATACAGCCATATCGCACTGCTACGAGTGTGATATTGCTCATTTATATATATAAATAAATCACATTCATATACGTGTGTGTGTGTGTATATATTAACGCAAGACTCTTATCGGGCATTTAAAAAAAATATTGTATAATCTATTCTCAAAGTTTGGTTGGGAGCTGGGTCTATTCTACGCAAGATATGATGACTTTCAACTTAATATTTTATCGCAGATGTATACCTGACCAGTGAGCCGTCTGACAAAAAAGTGCCCTTCTGGATCTCTCACTTACTTCAAAGACACTACTGACTACGTTTACATGGACATCAGTAATCTAGTTATTTGCCGTAATAGACAATAATATAGTTAAGGTGTTTACGTGAAGTGCTTTCATGTAACATTTTCCTGTAATTTTGGGTGACTTTAACTGTTGTGCGGCAGTTTTACATTTACTCATAAACATTTTAGTCATCCCCCTTGACTAACTGGGGTTTTAGATGCAAATAAGGAGTAAGGACTGGTGAGGGTGTTATAGTATTTAATAACACATACCAAATGGAAAGAAAATAACTTTCACATTTCACAATGTGTGTGTGTGTGTGTGTGCGTGGTCCTTTACTGACAGCCGCGTCTGTGGATCTTGTCTGAAAATATGGCGAAAAGTCCTACATGACGGTAATAGTTTAATTGGGGTGTTTACTTCAATGATGCCACTAATATATGCATATTCCACGTCTTAATTACATTTCTGTTTATTTCACTTATGACTTTAGTCGAATTAAGGTAATCAAAAAAATCACTGTTTCGATCTTACGTAAAGTTCAAAATTCAAGTTTTACTAAATAAATAGTCAGTAAACAAGTACATCTTATTGAAGATAATTTATTTTCATCACCAATTATCACAGTAGAACAGTTTCTCAAGCAGTTTGTGATGCATTTTGGAAACAGGAGATGAGCCCCTGGTCTAATGCGCTACCTGGCTTGAGAAACCCGTTCTCCAAAACTTATATGTAGTCATTATTCGGGTCGCACACATATTTTAAATGCCTTCGGGAGAATTCAAATGAGCCATTTTGGTCTAGATTAATCTAGATTAATGCCAAGATTACAGTGAGATTAATCTAGATAAAAAAATCTGTGCCCACTTATAATATTTACAGTAGAATAAAACATTTTCCTATACATCAAATACAGGGCTTTCTTAAATTTTAATTCTCCTTTTCTGCAATTTCTGTTTTATTCCAAATGAAATGTTCTGGATTCAGTTAATTTGTTCTGGACTTTATAATGGTTGAACTAAATTGCAATTATCAGGAAGCATGTCCAGTTAATTTAGTCAATACAGTTAGTCATAACACATATTCAGGTTAACAATAATTTATAAAGAGATCAAGATAAAAATGTAATATGTTAATGTAATATAAAAATATATTAAAATGTTTTTATCATATGCATATATAATGTTTGTTGAATGTAGCATGAGTAAGACTTAAATCAGTCAAAATATGAAATTGGGCACACTTTAATGTACAATTCACACTTTTAACAAACCATTGACTAAGACTTTAAGCTCAATACACTACTAATTAGCTGCTTATTAATCGTTATTTAGTAGTTGGGTTTTGGTATTGAGTTGGATTAGGGAATGTAAAATACGATAATACTTTATAAATGCTAATAAACAATTGATATCCTAATAATATGCAGGTAATAAGCGAGTAGTAAATGGTGTGAATAGTTGTGACTTAAACTAAAGTGTTACCATGAATTTAATGATGGTTAAATGCAGAAGGATATAATCTCTCTAAAAAACAAGTTAAACCAGTGTCCACTTTTATTTTCTTACATTTGCTTTTAACCTGTAGATTTATACTAGATTTTGCAGATCTATATTTAAACGATGAGATCAAATTGAATTTTATATGAAGGGATAGTTCACCCAAAAATATCATTTATAAAAACGAGTTAAACCAGTGTGCACTTTTATTTTTTTACATTTGCTTTTAACCTGTCCTTTTTCTCAATTTATCAGGTTCAGCCGTTCTCTGTTTCTAAGGCCACGGTATCATCTTGTGTCCTGCCCGAATCTCCACCCCGCAATATCAGCTCCAAATCGAAGAAACCCAAAGGCCTTGAGTTAATGCCCACGCTGGTGGTTACCAGCTCTGACCTGAGCCCTCTCAATCTGTCCAGCCCGTCCCTCCCGACGGCGTCTCTCACCCCAGCCTTCCTGCAGGTCAGTTCCCTCCTGACCTCCACACTCACGCAACTACAGGCTATTTTCTGCTCCCATTCATCTGATACAGTCATCAGAGCATCAGCAGATTTAGTTTTGGGTCACAGAGGAGGATTGTCTGGTGTATTTGTTGCAGGGCTAACCCAAGCGCAAGGGGGCCGTAAGGGGGATTTTATTACTCGATGCGAACAATATCAATGAATATTCACAGACACACTATAAATCTGAAAAGTGCATTGTCGATTTTATTTCCTTTAGTTGTGTTGCTTACATTATGATATATCTTTGTATAGCCTAATACAATTCTACATTTTATTTTCCAGATATAACTTCCTAGATAATGCGACGTTTTATAGAACTTTTAACCACAAAACTAAACAAATAGACAGAAGATTAATCTGAGATTTAATTAACGTTGACAAAAACAACAACGGCTACTACTGAATAACTACTGAATTATTAACTGAACTATTACTACTGAATTATTAATATTACTGGATAGTAATAATTTTATATTTTTTAGTCACAAGATGCTGCCAAACTGTCAAGAGTAGCGGCAGTAAAGATAAACTACTGCAAAAAAATAGCTTTTCTTATAGAATTTTCTTGTTTCTAGTCCAAGTATCTAAAAAATGTTAAATAAAGAAGCATTTTCTAGACAAATAAATATTTAATAATTAAAAAAAGAAATGATTTATTAAATCTGTAAAAACAAGCTAATTAATCTGCAAATAAGTCAAGTAAAATAATCTTATTTTAAACTGAAAACAATATTATTTTACTTAACCTAATTGGGATACTATTTATATTTGTATAAGTAGTCACCATTATCCATTAAAAATAGAGGAACTATGACGTCAATTTGAATGCAAAAACCTGGAAGCGAGTTAACATTTTAGCAGTTCCGGTTCCCTCGTCCCAAAGTCAACAGGTTTTTTCAAATGGGATTTTTGTTAAATCGCTTACATAAGGTTTGTGGCGAACACAAACTCGAGATACTTTCACGTTTTATTCTACAAAAGTGGTCACCAAACTTATTCCTGGAGGGCCGGAGTTCTGCAGATTTTAGTTCCAACCCTAATCAAACACACCTTATTTAAAAAGACGGTTGCTATCAAGTTGCTTAATGGGACTACAGGTGGTGTTGGAGATATTATACGTCATTGAGCTGAGCTGGTCCGGAGCGCAGCTCGCTTGTGTTAAACATTTGGATTAGTCTGTGATTTAAGTATTTTCTTACATAGTATTTTATAGTTTGTAGTAATTTTCTAATTGGGAATTCATATTGTGTGTAGATAATTCCTTCACTTGTAAGAGCTGTCGAGACATTTATTTGTTGATCATTTATTTTATTCATTCATTCATTTTTCTTTTCGGCTTTGTCCCTTTAATAATCTGGGGTCGCCAGATTCGCATGTCTTTGGATTGTGCAGGAAACCGGAGCTCCCGGAGGAAACCCACGTGAACACAGGGAGAACATGCAAACTCCACACAGAAACACTAACTGACCCAGCCGAGGCTCAAACCAGTGACCTTCTTGCTGTGAGGCGACAGCACTACCTACTGCGCCACTGCATTGCTATATATATATATATATATATATATATATATATATATATATATATATATATATATATATATATATATATATATATATATATATATATATATATATATATATATATATATATATATATATATATATATATATATATATATAAAAACATTTTTTCATTTATTCATTTTCTTGTCGGCTTAGTCCCTTTATTAATCTGAGGTCGCCACAGCAGAATGAACCGCCAACTTATCCAGCATGTTTTTACGCAACGGATGCCCTTCCAGCCACAACCCCTCTTTGGGAAACTTCCACACACACTCATTCACACACACTCATACACTACAGACAATTTAGCCTACCCAATTCACCTGTACCACATGTCTTTGGACTGTGGGGGAAACCAGAGCACCCGGAGGAAACCCACGTGAATGTAGGGAGAACATACAAACTCCACACAGAAACGCCAACTGAGCCACGGCTCGAACCAGCAACCCAGCGTCCTTCTTGCTGTGAGGTTGACAGCACTACCTACTGCGCCACTGCATCGCCTCAGTTAAACACAAAGAAGATATTTAGTAGTAAGATAGAAACCTGTAATCATTGACTTCCATAGTATTTGTTTTCCCTACTATAGAAGTCAATGGTTACAGGTTTTCAGCTTTCTTCAAAATATCTTCAAAAAGGGACTTATAAAGGTTTATAACCAGACAGTAAATAGTGAGTAGATTTTTGGATGAACTATCCCTTTAAGCTGAATTAACAGTTGTTATTTTGAGGCACTAGAGGGCAGTAGTGCACCACTTAAACTACTGAAGCTCAATGATGCTGAAGAGAGACACTCATTGGGTTACATGCTGGCGATCATATGGTGAGCTTTAGCTGGATGCTGCTTTGATGGATCACCTCGTTAAAACTGCACAATCTTTGCATTTACGAGCACTCAAACCCTCGGCCCCAGAGGACCCCCCCCCCCCACAGAGATGAAAGATGAAATATACTATAATTCATATCTATTATTTATGATTTTCATGAAATACAGCACCCTTGCCCTCTGATTAATTCTCACTGCTTCTTAAAGTCTCATTAAGCCACTTTTAATTAAACATTTATATTTCAGGGGTTATGCCTCTTGCAAATGCTTTGTGCCGTGATGCTCGCGCATGTTCTTTAATGAATGCGTGCTGGATGAGTGGAGTAAAAGTTCACATTTGTTGCAGACGCCGCTGCTGCTCACGCCCAGTCCACTTCTGTCGAACATTCATTTCTGGAGCACGCTGAGTCCTGTGGCGCCGCTCAGTCCCGCAAGGAGACAGGGAGCACACAACCTCTTCCAGGTGAGAGTCAGATGATGGTCAAAAACCTACATTTACATTCCCTGATCAAAGCATGAACTAATGTGACATCGAACTAAATTAGCCCAACTCAAAGTTTATTTCGAGCTCAACTATTCTATTGTTTTAAATATGGTTCAACTTTTACATTTACATTCCAATTACATTTATTAATGGTGTTGAAAATTTATGTGGACCTAGACTAGACCCTTGATGTATAATTTATTTTTAATATTACAAACAGATTTAAAGGGATAGTTCACCCAAAAATTCTGCTTTCATTTACTCTCCCATTACTTGTTTCAAACTATTATGAGGTGCTTTTTTCTGTTGAGCACAAAAGAAGATATTTAGAAAAATGTTAGAAAGCTGTAAGTATTCACTTCCATAGTAGGAAAGAACAAATACTATGGAAGTCAATGGTTACAGTTTTACAACATTTTCCTAAGTATCTTCTTTAGTGTTCAACTGAAGAAAGAAACTCATTAAGGTTTGAAACCACTTGAGGGTGACTGAATAGTGAGTAAATGTATTTTTTGGGTGAGCTACCCCTTTCTGGCAAGACACTGCATGTGAATATAGTAAAAACAACATATTTGTTAAAATGTTAACGTTAATACTGTAATAGTTTATTTTTCATGGAACAAACGAGCAGTTCTTACTTTATTTCTCAGAATTGTGAGTTAATATCTTGCAATTCTGATTTAATAACTTTGCTTTCTAGTTTACATCTCACAACTCTGATGAAAAAAGTCTTAATTGCGAGTTTTAATACAAATTCGCAATTAAGACTTTTTTTTAATCAATTAACTTGCAATTCTGAGATAAAAAGTCACAATGACCTTTTTTATTTCATTGTTTTTCCATACAATAGCCAAAATAGCCATTGTATGGGTCAAAATAATCAAATTTTCTGTTATAACAAAAATCATTAAAATATTTAGTAAAGATTATGTCACATTATGAATATTTTGTCACCTTCTTATCATATAAAAACTCAATTTCTGCTTAGTATTGTGCATTGCTTAAAACTTTTGATACTTCTGAGATTTTCTCACACATTTTGATTTTTTTTTGCACCCTCAAATTCCATTATTTAAAAATTATTTTAATTTTTGCCAAATATTATCATATCCTTACAAAATCTCGGCTCTTAACCAGTGGTTAGATGCATCTTTTTTTTTTTTTCTTAATATATTACAAGTGGACAAAATATGCAAACTAACATGCAGTACAATCAGTATCTTTCATTCTATACTTTTACAAAATGAATTCTCCCCCTTTTAGTTTGCTGGGACATTTTAAACACTTTTGCTTTCTAAAAATACCTTGCTCACTATTAACATTACATTACAAAATAAACATGAAATATACATATCAATTCCAGGTTTTTGTGAAGATATTTTAATATTCAGTTCATTCAGCATATATGCTATCACAGGTTGTTCTTGAAAATTACTTTAATATGACATTTTGAACAATAAAATTCACAAAAATCCATTTGCATGTATATTTGTTTACAATAAAACTACAAAAAAGATTATATTTCAGAAGAACAGGGAAATGGTGAAAGATTAGCTTTGTAGCTAGACAAAAATCATATGCAATCCGATATGGTGGCTCTAGTGAAAACAGCTTTGTTCATTACAAAGCTGAATGATCTCTTTGTGGAGTCAGTGCAGAGAGACTGGCTTATTTAGGATTCCCACAGTTCTGGAAAAGAAGGCTTAAAGCATTATACAATCAGTGTACATCTTGTAGTAAACTTAAATAGGTAATATTGCTTATATCGTAGTATAAGTTTATATTAATATTTGTAATTATTGTTTAGATTAAGATTAAGCTTTAGTATTTGTCTTATGTACTTGCTTTGCGATTTTTTTTTTTCTTTATTAAGGTAAATGTAACAGCATTGCAATATTTATTTATTATATTTATTCCATATTAAACTTGAATAGTAAATATTGCTTATATACTAGTACAAGTTTATATTTTTAATTTTTGTTTATTTTAAGATTAAGCTTTAGCATTTGTTATTTACTTGTTATGCAATTTTCCTTTTGTATATTTTTATATAGCTTTGTTTGTCTTGCTGTAACTTTTTTTTCAGATGTTTATTTTTCATTAGCTTTATTTTTAACACAAAAAAAGAGCAAAACCATAAATTACCATCACCAAAATATTTAAACTTTTTTAAAAGCATTTAACAAAAACACCAGTGACATTAAGATGTTCACAATAGAATAGCAATATTTTATAAAACATTTTTTCTCTCTCTCTTTCTTTTCTCTGCCTTTTTTTATATCAGTTTCCTTCTGTCCTGAGCTCCACACAGTTCACTGTTCCCATCTATAATTTAGACGGCACCAACACACCAGGCCCTCTCTCCCCCGACCCACAGAAGACATAAGAGGAGCACCGAGGCCTTCACACTTCATCTCTGCCTCATGTTCTTGATTGATAAACGCAGATTAACCTCATTCTGTTCACCTGATCCGGCCCTCTTCAGGTAACCAAGATTTATGACCATCGTTTAAGCATCAAGAGCATCCGCTTGACTCTTGAACTTTGCGATGCCACATACACTTTAACTTCGGATGTATATCAAGCCATCAGAATGTGTCTGCGGGACACTTTAAAACTGTCCTTTTTTGATTTTCTCCACTGCGACTGAAGCAGATGGATATTCAGCTCCATCTCTTGCCAAAACGGGCATCTTGTGCGTGTTTCACCATTGTTTGATCGGGATCCTAATTGAATTTAGTTTCTTGTGGAGCTTAAGACTTCAATTAGACTCTGAAGAGGTTCCCACATGACGTCAACAGCCTGTTTTTGCATCAGATAAAGAGCGATCGCTGTATATAATCCAGCAAGTTCACCTCGTCTCAACTCATGTTTGCCTTTTGTTTGAGAAGTCCTCAAACAAGCCTGCCTTGCCAAGCCAAACCGCCCCTTTGCCTTGTGATTTTGTTAATGGCGACCTCTGTTTTATCTTGTACCTTTCCTCATGCTGCACTTATACTGCCATGTAGTTAACGTGTTTTGTCACAATAACCACACGTACAGCACTTGATGAAAACAAGCTGCACTTATATAAAGGCTTTCGTGCCTACTTGTGTTTACTAGCCATCCAGAAATAGTCAAGGAGAGGGGTCGAAAATTACCTCATGTATATGGAAAAACTAAAAGGAAATCAAGCACGATTTGTTTCAGGGTTGTACACAAACGTTGGTTTATATGTGAACATTATAAAGGAACTCCGCACCAGCATTTTTTGTGAACACTTTGTGCTCCGTGTTGATTGGTTATAAGAGCTTTTGTGGTTCAATTTTTTTTTCTTCTGCATCTAAGGTGCATCATGGTAAAGCTACACAAGTAGCTGGTGCGACGTTTTGACAACATTTTAATCTTAAAGAGCAGCTTGAACACAATTACTATGAAACAATCAGAATCAGCAGAAGTCGAGGTAATTAAAGTTCGTGTGAAATTAAAAGTTACTATATTTATTTTGCCAGCGCACGATTTTATTCTTTAGGTGAATAATTAATTAATGCAAGTTAATCCACTGAAAAAAAAGCTTTCTGCGTTTGGAGTGGCGGTTCTTCTCTCTGACGAAAGTTTTACACAATAAATTTCAGCCACAATTTTTATAACCACGTCTCTCTTATTGTTAGCTTGCTAAGAGGGAATGATGCACAAAAAGAAAGCCCTGTTCCCTTGCTCACAATTTCAGTTGGAAGTTTGTTCAACCCAGGCTCATTCTAAAAATTTACCTCTCTATACATTTCTTGAGAGGGCCAAATACGTCCCAGGAGCTACGTCTTTTTGCAGTTTTTGTTTTTGCGAATCCACTAGAGGCCGCTGTGTATGCTTTTTCTGCTCAAATTTCTCCTGCGAGTGCCATTCGTGCCTGCTGTTCTTGCGTAAATCCACCAGAGGCCGCTGTCGACTGATCGACTGACCCACGCTCCTCCTTCCCTAAACCCAACCAATAGTGTTTTCACAAGCACCGATTGACAAGCACCCATCCACTTCCCTAAACCAAACCGACAGTGTTTTCAAAAGCAAACCAGAAAAAGAAAAGCCCTCGCGGCAGTCTGATTTGTACCACGTTTCAGATTTTACCACATCCTAATTTTTTTTATTTTTTAGCTTTTTTTGTCTTACCTATTTCTGGAACCGTTCTTTTCCGGACTCGAATGCCGTCGTCGCGATCAACTCCTTTGCATTTTAAGCCTACCGACATATGCGTCGAGTCACTGCACAAACTGGTAACAGTGGTGGTGAACAGTCAGCTGATAAGCGGCAAAAAGGAACAGCATCAAACACGGCGTTCGTTATAGAGATGAAATATAGCTATACGTATTTCTGGCTACATAATTCGGGATCTCCAGAAATGTATATAGGGTTACATTTTCAGAATGAGCCGGTGTTGAGTTTATCGATATACTGAAATAAAACTCTCAGTAATGTCCGTGTCACGCGTGCTTCATGGATAGTTCACAAAAATTTAATTTGAAAAAATACTTTAGCTGTTTTTGTCCATGTAATGGATGCTTCAATGTATTTGTGTTCCACAGAACAAATAAGTCCTTTATGTTTACATCATGATATATGTCATTTATGTCTCTCTCTTCATGAAAATTAAGAATGTTTTGCTCATGATGTTACCCTCATCATTGCAAAAACACATCTTAAAAGTGATTTTTCTGGTGCTTTGACCATGATGCACATCTTTGAGAGGGCACTTAGTAGGCCAAATTGGCGTCGCCCTCAGTTGCAGTGCCTGATGGCGACTGCGTAATGAAGCGTGTTCCAAATACGCCCCAATGCCATCAAACCATTACCGTAACACCACTAGATACGCCATGGTAGCGGTGCATATCTTCTCATATAAACCATTTTCCTCCTCTCTAAAATACTGGAAGCCATTATGAATGATTTCAGTTGAGTGGGAAAACCCAAGGACTTGCTTTACTCCAGTAGACCGCTGATTCACCATTAAGCTAATGGAGCGTATGCAGCGTAAAATGGAATGGAGCGGCACCGGCTCAGTGCTTAAAGCCTCATCCCGCCATTAGGATGGCTGGATTGGTGGCCATCGGTTGGATGTGTAGCGTAACTGGATGGTTTTCTGTAGAGCCCGGGCCAAATGCTCTAAACCATTCCTGCATTTGTCAGCGTTCCCGGTGTTGTGCAAGATTCAATCCCTCTGCAGAATACAATCTACCTTGGACAGCAAGCCAAAGCTGTTTGTAATGCCCATTCAGAAGTGTCTGTCCTGTTACTGCTGGTTAGCACAGTCCAGTTAACCCCTGTTGGTTTATTATACTACCCAGTATTTAAACTTTAAAATGGATCTTCTAATGTTTAACAACACCCATCCTTGTCAACTCGAGCACAATTTTGAAAAACGTTTTTGATTCACCTCAAATCATTTCCAGTGGCGGGTTTAATCTGTTACAAAGTAACTAGTTATTGTAATTAAATTAATTTTCAAGGGATTACTTTTTATTTTTAGATCATTTAATTACATTAAGACAATTAAACATGTTTAATAAACAAAATAATTGAGTTAAAAATGAATGGTAATATTTCATACGCATGAATATGTTTGAAACTAGGGATTCTCCGTTCAGGATTTTTGCTGCCGATAGCGAGTACTGATCCCTTGTCATGGTGATCGGCCAATATGGAATAGCGATTCTGATGCTTTGTATTGCATAAAACACATTTTCCCTCAAAGTATGATAAGATCTCGTATTACTTAAGAGAATAAATAAAAGATGTTGCATTTAATTCCTTAAATCCATTTAGCGAGGAAATGCCATGGTCAGAAGGAGCTTTACAAAAAAAGATAAAACAGACAACAAAAAAATTGGTTAGAAAAAATAAGTCATTATTCACATTTCAGTCGTTAAATGTGATTATCGGCTAATACCGATTTCTAGCCGATCAATCGGAGCATCCCTATTTGAAATGGTTTGTGCATTCATTTTTTATTCCATTTTTTAAAATGATCTAAAAGGCCCTTGAAAAATATCTAAAGAATTTAACGAGATTAATGTCTATTGTCCGTGTTGACATTTTGATTTGGTGGTATCTACTTAAAAAATTTATTTACTTGTTAATTATTAGTTACTTTTAGTTACTTTTTAGGTTACAAAATAATTAGAAAAGTAATTTAAATATACTTTTAATGTTGTAATTAGTCATCAGTAATTAACTACTTTTTTGAATAACTTACCCACACTAATAATAATAATAATAATAATAATAATAATAATGCACTGGTTCAAGCATTTCTGTGTGGAGTTTGGATGTTCTCCCCATGTTGGCGTGGGTTTCCTCCGGGTGCTCCAGTTTACCCCACATTCCAAAGACATGCGCTATAGGTGAACTGAATGAGCTAAAATGGCCGTATTTTATGTGTGTGAATGTGACAGTATATGGGTGTTTCCCAGTACTGAGTTGCAGCTGGAAGGGCATCCACTGTTTAAAACATATGCTGGATAAGTAGGCGGTCCATTCTACTGTGTTGACCCCTGATAAATAAAGGGACTAAGCCGAAGAAAAATGAATGAATGAATAATAATAATAATCATACATTCGTTTATATAGCCACTTTAAAATGTTCTTTCTCAAAGCACTTTACATACAAATCAATACACCATTCATTAAAGAAAAAACTGATAATACTGTATATATTTAATTATCAGATAACACTCATAATTACCTATATACAAATGTGACATTGCATTACAGATGATGGACAAAACAAGTGAGATCAGTGAGAGGACTGAATCTTGCAGGACACTGGTGAAGACTGCTCAAATTCTGAAGCCCTAATTTTGTTGTTGTTGTCAATGTGTTTGTGGAGTATTTGGCTTCACTTATAAACCAATATAGGAAGTAATGCCCATATGTTGCACAAAATAAAACCCTACCTCTCTCTTAAACTCAACAAGCCATGATTTATAACTGACATGCATTAGATGCAAAACTGGAAGAAGGCTCAATCGCTGACACTCAATTTGCAGACACTGAGCTCTGTTAGACCCTCCCTGTAGGACCACTTAAAGTGCAATCATAAAAACAAAAAGGGAAAAATATATATATAGAAACTATTTAGCATCTCAAGTCCAGCTCTCAGGTATTGTCCTTATGCTTTCACAAACCTCGATGTTTGCACTCAACAAACTGACCCGAGTTGAAGAAATCTCTCGCTTATGCTAACATGGTGCCTTGTAGTCCTGTTGTCTGTTAAATGATAAATAGGCGAACATTTTGTCCATTGTTTCTATTCTGAAAGGCTATTTTGGAATTTGCTGCTGAAAAGACCTACAAACTAAAATATTTAAAGGATTGTTCTGGGTTAAATATATATTTTAAGAGCATTTGGGAATAAAGAGAATTATTTTGACTCTATTTCTTAACCTTGGGTGTTTAGAAAGGTGCCATTAAATAAAGTAAATTATTATTAGTGGGTCAAGCGCGAAGCACTGAACACCTATTGTTTTTGTCAAGATTTTTATTATTATTATTTTTTTCTGCCAAAGTCACTATCACTCCGACCAAACCGTAAGGCCGAGAGAGCTGAAACTGGGCCAGATGGTAGTACTCCAGTACACTACATCCTGGCCAAAGATCAGCCTAATCTGACCATAGGTGGCGCTATGGCGCAAAACACCAAAATATTTTACATTTGTACACCGTTTG